GGAAGGGAGGGAAGGAGGGAGGGAGAGACACACACACAGACAGAGACACAGATTGAGAGAAAGATTATTCCAACTGGATATGGCAGCACAGGAGGCTGGGGCAGAAATATCAGCTGAGCTGAGGAGTTCAAGACCATCCTAAGCAACATGGCAAGACCACATCTCAGGGGGTGGAAGATGGCTCAGTAGAATAAGCACTTGCCTGGCAAGCGCAAGGGCCTGAGTTCAATCCCTGGTTCTGCAAAAAAAAAAAAAAAGAAAGAAAAAAAAGACCCCATCTGTTTTTTTGGTGGAACCGGGGATTGAACTCAGGCCCTTGCGCTTGCCAGGCAAGTGCTTATTCCGCTGAGCCATCTCCCTGGCCCCTTAAAGACCCCATCTGGTGGGGGGCAGTTAGTCAACCTAAATTATACTGTTTTATTTATTTTATTTTTTTTTGTGTGTGACCGGCTCACTCATTGCAGCATGTGGTGCCAGGGATCAAACTGCAGTCCTTGCACTTGCCTAAGCAGGCACTTTGGACCACTGAGCTATCTCGCTGGCTCATTATGTATTAATTTAAAAAAGAGCTTGATATACAATGCTTTAATTTGCATACATAAACGTTAGCAGCCCAATTCCAAAAGAAATCTCTGTTATATACCACATAACAAGTTTGACACCCAGAATCAAAATATATGTCTGGCTTTTTTTGTAGCCACTTGAGAAGATAGTGGAATTCTGGGGAGCTGCTTCCAAGTGCTCCAGCCTCTGTGGCAGTGTCATCCAGCTGCCTCTCTTCACTGTGGGTGTGAGTCTGGAAATGAGTGAGTACATAGTACAGCTATGGATGCCCAACCCTGTATTTTTTTTTTTAATAATTATTTATTTATTTAGTGTGTGTGTGGCCAGTTCAGCCCACCAGGGGGCGGGGCTGGCTGGCATGTGGTGCTGGGGGATTGAACTGTGGTCCCTGTGCTTTGCTTAGCTTAGCTTAGCTTGTTCTAAGTAGGTGCTTTAGACCACTGAGCCATCTCACCAGCCCAACCTTGTATTTTTGAAGCTTGGATTTTCAACTTTTTTTTTTTTTTTGGTGGTACCAGGGATCAAACTCAGGACCTTGTGCTTGCCAGGCAAGTACTTATTCTACTGAGCTATCTCCCTGCCCCCCCCAACATATTCTTTAAGTATGGAGTTTATCTGGATATGAACATCTCAGAATGAAGACAAGACCCTTCTCCCTGCTGCTAATCATGCTGCACAGACACTTTGGGAGGTTCGCCCAACCTTACCACTTGCAGTTCCAGGTTACAATTGGTTTGCATGACCTTCAAATACTAACTGTTTGATCCAGATTTCTTTGGTTCTGGGTCCTGTCTCATGATTGAGAGCAGACAGAAGCCTCCACAGCCACAAAGGGAAAAGCCATGTGCCATGCAAAAGTCCTTTGGCCAGTTATCCTCCAACTGCTGCAGCACAGCCTAGTTGGGCTAAGATTTATTTTAAAATTTGAATCAGCCCTCCTTGGAGGTGGGGTTGGTGCAGTATGTGGTGCCAGGGAATCAACTGCGGTCCTTGCACTTGCCTAAAGTTGTCTAAGCAGGCGCTTTAGTCCACTGAGCTATCTTGGTGGACCCAGGTTTTTTGTGTTTGTTTGTGTTTTTTTTTTTTTTTTTTTTTGGCGGAACCAGAGGATTGAACTCAGGCCCTTGAGCTTGCCAGGGAAACGCTTATTCCACTGAGCCATCTCACCGGCCCCCCAAACCCAGGGTTTGTTTTTTTTTTTTGTTGCAGTACTGGGGATCGAATTTAGGACCTTGCCAGGCAGGTGCTTATAACACTGAACTATCTCCCTGGCCCTAATCAGGGTCTTGGTTTTTGGTATGTTGGAGACAGGTTCTCACTCACTGTACAGTCCAGACTGGCCTTGAACTCACTTTGTAGCACAGGCTGGTCTTGAACTTGCGAAGATCCTCCTGCCTTAGCCTCCCAAGTGCTGGAATTACAGGTGTTCCCCACCACGCCCAGTGCTTGAATCAGGGTCTTGCCATGTTCCCCATGGGCTTGAACTTGCATTCCTCTTACCTTAGCTTCCCAAGAAGCTGGGTTTGCAGGTATGTTGATTTCATACACTTTCTCTTTCCTCTCTTCCCTTTCAATCTATCTCTTTCCCTACTGCTGGAAAAAGCCCAGGGCTTCACACATGCTAAATAAAGGAAAAGCTTTATTCAAAGTTAGCTCTCAGTTACATAGAAGGGTCTTCTATTGTTACAAATCACCTCACCTGGTCAGGTGTGCAGAGGAAAGAAAGATAATGAAACAACAGACAAGGCCAGGCCCCATTCATCTTCGATCACTCAGTTCCCTGCCACCCTTGTCGAAGTCTTTGATCTTTGGCCCCCAGGGACCAGCATCTACATATCCTTTTCTTTTTTTTTTGGTGGTACCAGGGATTGAACTCAGACCCTTGTGCTTGCCAGGCAAGTGCTTATTCTACTGAACCATCTCTCCGGCCCCAAACAGAGTGTGAAGCCCAGAAATCTTTCTTTGCTACATCATTAATCAACAATTATAAGTCTTTTTTTTTTTTTTGCGGAACCAGGGATTGAACCCAGGCCCTTGCACTTGCCAGGGAAGTGCTTATTCCACTGAGCCATCTCCTCAGCCCTGCATATCCCTTTCAGACTGAAGAGGTATTATTTTCTGCTCATCAAGAGTTGAGAAGCATGAGGAAGCTTAAAGGTTTTATTTTGTTTTTTGTCTTATTGAGACAGGGTTTCACCCTGCAGTTCAGGCTGGTTTAACTATTGTCCAAGATCACTCCCCTGCTCTTCAAAGCCCTTCAAGGCCATGTTGCCCTTTGTGCCATCTGCCATCTCCCTCATAGATTTCACTGACTGACCCTAGCTCTCATTTCCTGTTAGTCTTGACCCAGCAAGAGTTACCTCTGCAATGTCTTGAGTACCCCACTCTGGGTCATGCTTTGTGCTGTTCCCTCAGCCAGAAACCTCCATTTCTTCTACCTTACCTCATTTCACTTTGACCAAACTTTATCATAGCTCAGGTATCATCTTCAGAGCACTTTTCCTGACCCACAAGGACAGGACTGCCATCTCACAGCCCCACTGCTTACCCCTTGTAGCTACCGAGCCAAGAATTCTCAGCCATCTCGTCCCCAACCTGGGTGAGTAACCCTACACTATCAACTTAGTTGGGAGAGCATACTGGCTCTTTCCCACTAGAGTATAGTTGAAGCTACAGGGTGCTCTTTCCCACACTGGACATGAAGAGCTGGGGTAGGGAGATTTTGCTCAAATCTTGCTTTCCTTCACCACTGCCATTATAGGAATAGTCATTCTGTAGGTCACCCACCTAAGGCAACAATGAGCAGGGGCCTGGAGTCCACATGCCTGAATTGTTTCTGGACAGAGATCTGCCACTGTCTGACATGGTGACCTTGAAGGAATCTAGGAGTAGTATATCTTTTAAAATTTTATTTATGTGGGGCCGGGGAGATGGCTCAGTGGAATAAGCGGTTCCCCAGCAAGCGCAAGGGCCTGAGTTCAATCCCCAGTTCCGCAAAAAAATAAAATAAAATAAAATTTTATTTATGTGTGTGTATGTGTGTGTCCAGCTCAGCCCACCAGGGAGCGGGGCTGGCTGGCATGTGGTGCTGGGGGATTGAACCGCGGTCCCTGTGCTTTGCTAAGCTTGTTCTAAGTAGGTGCTTTAGACCACTGAGCCATCTCACCAGCCCCAGGAGTAGTAAATCTTAGATACGGGACTTAGGTCACTGGGACTAAAGAGGCAACTGCACTCTACACAGTGCTGACACGTAAGCACTCAAATATGTTGTGCCTTGTATCTGCCCCCAGAACATGAATAAAATTGGGTTTTTGGACCAGGAATATAGCTCAGTGGCATAAACACTTGCCTGGGAAGTGCAAGGTCCTGAGTTTGATCCCTGGTACAAAAAAAGACTTATTTTTGGCAGAATCGGGGATTCAACTCAGGCCTGCAAGCACTTATTCTACTGAGCCATCTCCCCGGTCCCCAAAAAAATCTTAAAAAAAGTCTTAATATAGGACTTCCCCCCAGGTCAAAAGAGAAAAAAACCTAGTTACACTTTCCAAGTTGAGGGAAATGGCTCTCATTCATTGGTTGATAATGGGGATACATGGAGTTCGAGCAGGTCAACTCAAGAGAAATCTAGGTGTTAGAAAGTACAAATCTTTTTTTATTTATTTTTAATGTATTTAATACAGGGTCTCACTACACAGAGTGGACTTGTAGTGAGCTTCCTGTTTTCAGCCTCCCAAGCTCTGGGATTACAGGTGCGTGTTACCATGCCCAGTCTTGGCCTTCTCAGCGCACCCTGGGGGCAGGGCCAGCAGGGCACAACAGGGATCAAACAGAAGTACAAATTCTAACAGGAAGGTTTGCGTCTACTACAATCATGGCAACTGGAAGGCAAATGTACCAGGGTTGAACAGCCACTCTACAGTACAGATTTATACTCTCAAATGTACTGTATGGGGACAATTTTTATTTACTAATGCACCTAGACCCGAAGTTGGCTATGGTGGAAGAACACTTTCAGAGTTAAGTGGATATAATCTGCCTTTCATGCAATTGCACTCCCAGTTTCTAAACTGTGACCACACACCTGAATCAACTGCACCTGCTACCACCGAAGACAACCTAGAGCAAGCAGGGGCGGGGAAACTGTGCACTTACAGCAGCACGCTGTTATCACCAAACCTACTGAAGGTCACCATCACTGCCCCAGAGCAAAGGTGAGGGAGACTGGGAAAAAGCCCAGGCTACGTATGAACAAAGAACCGAAACATTTGTGCTGTACTGGGGCTCAGTGGGAGCTTGAGTGCGTGGGACCCTTCTTTCTACCTACACTTAGAGCAGACACACTAAATCCAGGCCCACTTGAAGCCCACTAGCAAGCTGCATAGAACCCCAAACCCATGCCCAGCTGTGTCCCTGATTTATCACTCAGAGACATCAGGAAAGGTTAAGGAATTTTCTTTATTTTTTACAAATTAAGACTATGTAGATATATATTTCTGAATCAAAAACACCTTTGTCTTCACAGTATGAGTTAGAGAATGCAGCCTGAGCTGAAAACAAGGAACTAGAAGATAAAGTGAAAATTACAGTGATACTTGTATTAAAAAATCTGTTAGGCATTTACTTTTAAAGTACTTTCTTTATATGTTGTCATTCTTGGCACTGTTTCTAAAGAAAAACTCCTTTATCCCAAGCAAAAAAGCACAAGAGGTGGAGTCTGGCTTCAAGAGATGGATTTCAGATTCTCAGGCTTGGCAGAAAATCACTAAATTTATGGAGAGCTGTTAATGGGGGCTTAATAGGAAGGAAATTCATTTAGTAAGTTCTTAAGCCAGAGGCTAGAGGCAGCGACTAAGTCAAAGGGCAGCATCCTCAGTGGAAATGAGCCACTTTGGGTGGTGTGTCACTCCAGGAAGTTTCATGGGATGGATTAGTGACACAACACACTACACTGTGTCAAACTGCACTGGTTGTGAACAGGAAGAGCCAGAAATAGCAGCCTGCTGATAATGCACTTTTAATAGCTTGGCCCCCTGGCAATAAAACCCAGAAGCCAGGGCCATGACTACTCTGTGTAAGCTGACTGTGGAGGCCCACAGGAAAGAACTTGTGATCCACCCATTACAGCTGCTCTTCCACACCTATAACCACAAAGCTTCAGGGAACTGGAGCTCTTACAAGTTTGGTCACCTGGCTCCTACCTGCAGCTCTCTGGAAACAGGTGAGCAGACTAAAAATTAAAGTGCATCTACAAAATGAGCATCTATCTGCTGCCCCGAATCTCTGGCCTGACATGCCCTACATGTTCAGGTGGGGGCAGACAAAAATGCACAGAAGGGCTCTTAAGATGCTGCCTCCCAAATCATCACAGCACTGCCGCACTCATCTGTACAAGGACCCACTCAACGGAGGGGATCTGCCCACCACTCTTTATCTAGGTTTGTTGGGCAGGATTCAGAGAATTCAACCATTCCTCTTCTTTATCCTCCTCTCTTAGGACCTTGAGTCACAGCCACCTGGTGAAGGCTCCTCGGTAATTATGGTGATAATCAATTTTAGAAAACAACAACAAAAAATACAGAAAGGGCCAATTTGAGAATTTTGTTATCTATTTTGCCATATATACTCAGCCAAATGCTTGATGAAACAATCTCTCTTTCTGCTGAAGTCCTGCCACCCGATGGATAGAAAACAGGCAGATTCCCTGAGGGTCAGGCAGGGGTGGGAAAGGGAATACACACAAGCCTACATTCCCTTTGTGATGGCAAGGCAGAGGGCATTTGCCTGCAAGCTCGAGAAGCTCAGAGGAAGCAAGCACCCATTGAAGAGGCTCTTTTGCTTTCTTTGTAGAGCTGACAGCTCAAATATGAGCCTGAGTTAACCACAGGGCCAGCAAACTTCTTCCTAGTAGAAAACATACTGCCCAGTCCCCACAGAAACTGTGTGCAAACCAAACAATATTGAGGAAGGGTGGGCTGAGGTGGCTCTATCAAATAGTCTGTGGTCCACTGGGTGAGGCTCAGTGGGGCTGTGGACTCCTGGAGTTTGCTCTCTCTGCTGGCCCCACTCCTCATGGAGGTGGCTGGCCACCAGAGCAGAGCAAGTGCTAAGAGATGGGCTGACAAATGGGAGTAAGGAAGAACCCCAGGAATATGAAGCCAAACTCCAAACTATATTCTGCTAATCAATTTTTGATCAAAAAATTCAAAATAGAGAAAACCACAAAGTACAAAAGCTTTTCTGATGCCTTTCATTATCATAGAACACGCCACCTGTAATGTGTGCAAACAGGAAATGAGGGGTGGAGGGGGAGAAGCCAAACTGGGAAAGGCTGGATGGTCATCTCACTTCTTTTCTTTCTTCTTATCCTGAAAGTGGAGAAAATGACCCAATTTATTATTATTATTACTATTAGTCTTTTTGAGACAGGGTCTTGCTATGCAGTTTAGGCTGTGCTTGAGCTCACTTTGCAGTCCAGGCTGGTTTCAAACTTGCAATGATCCTCCTGCCTCAGCCTCCTGAGTGCTGGGATTACAACTATGTGCCACCATGACCGGCATCACCCAATCAAATTTTTGCATCTGATATGTAAGTTCAAATTCTTAAATGATCCTTTGGTTAAGAGTCTGGAGGGAACCTGGACATTGACCATGAGAACTGCACCTCAACTAGTTTCCATGGCCCTTCCCCGAAACTGTGACAAGTCTAATGAGAAAGAGTCAACAGCTGTCCCAGGGCCACATCAGTAGTAGCTGTGTGCCCAACCACCTCTGGCCACTTATAATACCACAGTGCAAATCCCAGCAGCCCAGGCCCTACTAGTCTGTCATAAAAGACCAAAACTAAGGCCATGTCATTAACTTTCCATCAAGAATGGGACATGCTCTGCATGGAGGGTGAGCATGAATCCTTAGTACAGACTGACATTTGGAAACAATCTAGGCCAGGGGATATGTCAATCTCAGGTACTGCTACCTATTCTAAAGGAATAGGGCCAGGTCTATAGCTCAGTGGCACAAGTGCCTGCCTGGCAAAAGTGCAAGGTTGTGAGTTTGATTTCCACTACCTCCCCGCTCCTAAAAAAAAAAAAAAAAGCAAAAGGTGTGCTGCTTTTCTTATGGAAAATAGGGCAACTGCTTAGTGCTCAGTCCAACTTTGTATAGCCCAGACAAAAGCAATAATCCTATCTAGTCACCTGCCTCTACCACCACTATGCTGCCTCAAGTTCTAGAATAAAGTCTGCAAAGAAAACTTCATGGCTTCACTCACTTCTCCACTTTTAATGCTGTCTGCTACAGAATATTTAAAATTTTTTTTTTTTTTGCTGCTGAGGACTAAAGTCAGGGCCTCACAATTGCTAGACAAGTATTCTACCACTAGCCAAATCCCCAGCCCCTAAAACGCTTCTCTGAAAAAAAAATTAAGACTAACAAATGAGTAAAACTGGTCTATAATTCCTGCTACTTGGGAGACTGAGCAGGATTACAAGCTCAAGGCCAACCTAGGTAACACCCTGTCTCAAAATAAAAAGGGACAGAATTATAGTTCAGTGAAAGAACAATTTCCTAGCAGGCAGAAAGTCCTATATTCAATAGCCAGTACTGGGAGGGCAGAGAAAAAAATTTTAAGTTCACTTATCAGTATTATATGACATGGGGGCCAGGGAGATGGCTCAGTGGATTAAGCGCTTCCCTGGCAAGTGTAAGGGCCTGAGTTCAATCCCTGGTTCTAAAAAAAAAAAAAAAAAAAAAAAAAAAAAAAGTATTATATGAGAGGGCCATCCAAATAGCTTGGCAGATTAGAGAGCCTGCAAGCAGGCACAGAGGCCAGGATTCAGCCCCTGGGCCTGCCTGCTGGCCCTGCCCCTGGGGCGTGCTGAGAGCAGGAGCATGCTAAGATGGCAACTGAGACTGGGCTTGGTGGTGTATGCCTGTAATTCCAGCACTTGGGAGGCTGTAAACAGGAGAATCACTATGAGTCCTATCTAGTGGTAAGATGCTGTAGACCCTTCCCTAAAAAATACAGGGGAAAAAAAAATATGATATCTTTAGTAATTTTTTCTTTTCTGCAATCTGGGGGATTAAAGCCAGACCCTAGCACTTTATTTTTTGAGATAGGGTCTTGCTAAGTTGCCCAGGCTGGGTTTGAGCTCGCCATCCTCCTGCTTCAGTTTCCCAGAAATTACAGGCATCTACTACCACATCCAGTTTACAGTATTTTTTTTTTTTTTTTTTTTTGTACTGGGGATTGAATTCAGGTCTTTGGGCTTGCCAGGCAGGCACTTATGCCACTGAGCTATCTCTCCAGTCCCCAGTTTACAGTATCTTTTTCTGAGTTGCAATTATCTTTACAGCCTTTAAATTCTTCATATTGCCCCCGAAGATCTTTTCCCTTTGATGCTAATCTCAGGGACTAGTTAGGAGAAAAGAAAAGTTAAAGGGTTATTTTTGAGACAGGATCTCACTAGGTAGGTCAAATTGGCCTTGAATTTGTGGTGATCTCCTGCCTCAGTCTCTTTTATTTTTTGATACAGGCTCTCATTACGCAGTTCAGACTGATAGTGATCCTTTCAGCCTCCCTAGTGCTAGTATTACAGGTGTGTGCCACACTCCTAGTTTTGGTGGCCGGCATGGTGTGCCTGGGGTTCTGGGGCTGGCAGGGCATGTGGTACTGGGGATAAAAATCTGGACCTTGCGCTTGCTAGGCAGGTGCTTATACTGCTGCCAAGCTACCTCCCCAGTTTAATGAGTGGTGGGATTGTAGGCTTGGGCCACCACATTCAGCTAAAAGAATAATTTTTTTTGGGGGGGGGCAGAACCGGAGATTGAACTCAGACACTGGCGAGCACTTGTTCTACTGAGCCATCTCCCTGGCCCCTAAAAGAATGATTTTTAAGGCAGGTGCTTATGCCGCTGCCAAGCTACCTCCCCAGTTTAATTTCTTGAGTGGTGGGATTGTAGGCTCAGGCCACTACATTCAGGTAAAAGAATGATTTTTACTTGTTTCTTTTTCTCTACCAGGTGAAAACTTCTAATTTGCTTTGTGCACAGTAGGCTGCCTTACCCTGGGAAGTTTTCAATCTTAATTATACAGAGAAAATGAACTGAGGAGCCATTCCCTCAGCTGCGGGTTATAGGCTGACTAACCTTCTCATTCATTGCCAGGATCATCATGAGTTTTCTGAAGAGAGTGACAAAATCTAAGAAGAGATCAATGCAGTGCCTGAAAGAGAATGAAACAGGTTACAAACTCCATTTCCCACTTCTTTGATCTTTTAAGTCCACAGAGCAGAACATAAAACCCACACTCGGGCCGGGGAGATAGCTCAGCATGGAATATGTGCCTCCATGGCAAGTGCAAGGCCCTGAGTTTAATCCCCTGTACTGCAAAAAACAAAAAACCAACAAAACAAAACAAAAAAACCACCCACACTCATCCACAAGTCAACTTCTCTAACACTACAAACAACTAAGGAAGTAAAATTCTGGTGTCTCAGATCCATTTCAACTCAAAGAAAGCACATGGCATACTCAAGTCTGCAACTGTGCCCTTGGCATCACTGGACTTTCAATGCTGCACAGGCCCTAGTTTGAACCTGAACTACCAATTAGTTATGAGACTTCAAGATGATTACTACACTTAAAAACTGTGTACATTTTCTTCAAATTGTTAAAGATTTATTTTAAGGATTTAAAAAATACAAAACAAAACAATAACAAAAACCACAAGTTCAGCCATGGCATGGCATAGAATGGCATGTTTCAACATTTACCAGTACAAACCAATTTTCACACTTACCAGATATAATCCTTATCTCCATGTTCAGCTTTTTCAATAATGAGTTGAGTATCAAAAAGGACAAAACCACACATGACCACCAGTCCCATATATAGGTTTGCCTAACAGAAGAATAGGATGAAGTTAGCATATAGTAATAGTACAAGGGACACACGGACACACAAAGATTCTGCCTTTTGATCACTTGAAAGCACAACCAGTGAACAATAAAGATAACCATATTATTTCCAAAGATACTCCTCGTTTACTTGTTTAGGATTCTTTTTTAGATAGGATCTTGCTTTGTAGTTCAGGCTGGCCTTGAACTCCTAGTCATCCTTCTGCCTCAGCCTCCCAAGTGCTCGAATTACAGTTCGGTGCTACTACAACTGGCTCCCAACATACTTCCATATGGCACTGGAAGACCTTCCACCATTTTCACAAGTCAATGCTAGACTGACAAAGGATTTGAGCAAATCATCCTCTCCTCAGCAGTGCCTGATGACATTTAGCTGTACTGCTGCAACCAGAAGCAGATGAAGTTTGTAAGGTGCTGCCCAAAGGTGATTATCCTAAAGGTGTCTTAACCTAGCTTGCTTTAAGTGAGAAAAAAGTAGCATAAGGCAAATAGCTACTGGAAACATCTGTGTAAAATCTCACCTGGAAAAGCCAAAGAGATCCAAAGAAAAGGTTCCCAAGAGAAGACAAGACCATCAGGCTCATGGCTGACATCAAGATACCTATTAAGACAAGGCAAGAAATTATCCTGAGGGGCTGAGTAGATAGCTCAGTGGCTTAAAGGCCTGCCTGGCTAGAGCAAGATCCTGAGTTCGATCCCCAGCATGGGGGGGGGGGGGGGGAAGCTATCTTGAAAGAAGACAAGCTCATTATGCCTTTTTTTTTACTTCCCCTTTAAATGAAAGCCAATATCAACATAACAGCTACAAGTAGGAAAGTAGTGAGGACTCTGGCTAGAACAGACCCCACTGTTTCCAGTTTACACTTACCTCCCAGAAAGAGGTAGCTCCGGCGCCTGGCGTAGAGTGCACTCAGGGTGAAACAGGTGAAGATCATTGCTGTGCCCATGAAAGCAGTGGGAAGGATGCTGTTAAAGAAAAAGACCACTTGAGGACTACAGGCACTTGGCCTTTATTTAGAAGGATATTCATAAAGATAAAAAGATAAACACTACTACTGAAACAGTTACCTAGGATTGACAGCAATGCACAGTTCCAGAGCAGGGCCCAGACCGACTCCTAGAAAAAAAAAAAAAACCACATAACACAATATTACCATTGACTAAGAGGAGCCTTATCCAAAAGCTGATTATTAATAACCCAGATACACTCAGGATCCTTAAGAAAAACCTCTCTTTTACATATTTATGTGAGTTAAATTGAATCTTTTCAGCACTAGGGAGGCAGAAAACAGGAGGATCACTATGAGTTCAAGCTGTGGTGAGACCCTGCAAACACACACAAAAACTTAGTCTCTTTCCTCCCTTTTAAATCACTAAGAGAATGTATGCCCCATTTATTATTTATTTATACATAGCTACAAAAAATGTCCTTTTAGCTCAAAATCATATATTACACTAAGAGAAACAGAAATTTAAAAAATGAAGCAGGACTATCAAATATTTTTGAGCTGGAATAATATGCAACTGCAATGTAGACCAGATCAGGAAATTAGAAAAGCTGCCAGGCCAGCAACCCTGTAATACGGTTTGCAAAAGTTGCAAGACAGGTTCTGCAAATAGACTCCTGCCAACAAGAGTGACCTGCTCCTGTCCAACATTTCTCCTACTCTGTTTCTTCTCTCCTTCTGATAATTCCACTCTTTCATGCCTTCAAAAACTGGCTAATCTAAACATCTCAATCCAAAAGTCCTTCCTAAAATTTCCTCAACACTATGAAGAGCGGTCACTCAAAACAATCTGTACCAACACAACTGTCTTGCAAGTAATTTTTATGTAGCCTGAGTCCTGCTTTCCTTTAATAAATTTAAAAGATTTGTACTTTTAATTCCTTGCCAGAGAACTAGCATATTGTCCTATGCAATAAATCTCAATGAATGGCTTTTAAGTTAGCTCAGGGCTAGGGCAATAGCTTGGCAGTTGAAACACCTGCCTAGCAGGTGCCAACCCAGGTTTGATCCCTGGTACCCTCCAATACCGCATGCTGTGCCAGCTCCACCTCAGGCGTGCCAGCCATTGGTACCACGTGTGGTGGCACATGACTATAATCCCAGCACCGGGGAGGCTGAAACAGGAGGATCACTATGAGCTGCATAGCAGTAGTGAGACCCTGTAGCAAATAAAAAACAAACAAACAAAAATCAAAAAAACAGCTGGCTCAGAACAGATACTGAGGGCCCTAGGACATAGTTCAGCAGAATAAGCGCTTGACTGGAAAGCGCAGGGCCCTGAGTTCAATCTCTGGTATTGCCCAAAAAAAAAAAAAAAAAAAAAAGGAACAGTTACTGACACTGGTCAGTATGGGGCCAACTAAGCACATACTGTCAAGCCTAGTTCAGTCCCAATGCCTATTATTTATTTTTCTGCGGTACTCAGGCAAGTACTTATTCTACTGAGCTATCTCCCCAGCCCCTCAATGCCTATTTTTGATGACAAAAAGAAAAATCACAAAGAGCTGGGGGCTGGTGAGATGGTTCAGTGGTCTAAAGCACCTACTTAGAACAAGCTTAGCAAAGCACAGGGACTGCGGTTCAATCCCCCAGCACCACATGCCAGCCAGCCCCGCCCCCTAGTGGGCTGAGCTGGACACACACACACACACACACACACACACACACACACACATATAAATTAAAAAACAAAAACAAAAACAAAGAGCTTACCCTAGATTGGGGAAATAACACGTTTTGCATACATGCAACAAATGTTTTGTAATAAGGCAAAAACAAACACAAGTATGACTGGACAGTACAGTGACAGACCAGAAGAAAAAAGTCAACTGTACAAATGGAATAGGCAGACAAAAAGTATGCCTGTTGTGGTAAATAAGAATAAATATACACCTTAGGCTTTTGTCTAAACAGATACTAAAAATGGTTTTCCCCTCCCATTTTTTTTTTTTTTTTTTAATACCAGGAATAAAACACACAGCCTTGCACTTGCCAGGCAGGTCCTGTGCTGATCAGCTTTATCACTGGCCCTTGCCTTTAAAATTAAATCAATACTTTAACATACCTGTAAGGAAAGCAAATCCAGCGAGAAGTCCCAATCTTTTCTGCTCAGTCTCATGGCTATGAGGGGTTGCCATCAGCCAAATCATCAACCCCAGGGAGCCCAAGGCAGACAGGAGGCCAGCCTGTCAGAGTCAATCAATAATTAAATAACTGAATTTTTCAAATTTATTTTTCAGGAGACCTTATTAGATTCAAACACGCATGTGAACTTCCTAATATGTTTCTAATCCAGAAGCAAGGGAAAAGGCAGTATTTTCTCAAGAATGTAGAGAGAAAGAAGTTTTGAAGCTCAGGTTCAGTACTATGGTAGATATTGAAGCTATTTTGGGACGGGCAGTCCATCAACTACAATACAAACTAGTCAAGTCAAACTACAAATGGTGTTGCCCAAGAAAGGGAGAAGATAAATCAAACTGACAAGTGCTTAAAGCACATCCCACTTGTAAAAAATTGTTGAAAGAAAACAAGGGCTAGTTACAGTGGCACAGGCCTGCAATTCCAGCTACCAGGGAGGTAGAGGCACAAAGACCACTGATTTAAACCTAGCCTTGACTATTTGGTGAGACTGTGTCTCAAGATAAAAGTTAAGGGCCATCGAATTAGCTCAGCAGACTAAGTGCCTGCTTAGGCAAGCTCAGGGACTGGGGTTCAAATCCCGGCACCATATACCCCACCGGCCCTGCCAATGGGCATGCAGAGCCAGCGACCAAGTCTGGATGTGGTGGTGCACACCTGTAATCCCAGCACTGGGGAAGCTGCAAACATGAGGATCACTATGAGACTCAGCTGTGTAGTGAGACCCTGTACCAAACACATGAAAAAAAAAAAAAAAAGAAAAAGAAAAAAAATGAGCAGAATGTAGCTCAGTGCAAAGGCCATGCTTTTTATCTATTTTTTGGGTGGAACCAAGGACTGAACTCAGGCCCTTATGCTTGCCAGGGAAGCGCTTATTCTACTGAGGCATCTCCCCAACCCCCCACCTCCCCCGCCACCTTTTTTTTGGAGACAGGGTTTCACTATGCAGTTCAGGCTGGCCTCAAACTAGAATTCACAGCAATCCTCCTGCCTCAGCCTCCCACATGCTGTGATAACAGGCATGCACTACCATGCCCAGCTAAGGGCCTGGTTTCAATACCCAGTACTAAGAGAAAAAAAAAAAAAAAAAAAAAA